CACCACCGGTCACGTGACGTCGCCTCCGCGCCGCGCTCACCACCGTCACCAATATGGCTGCCGCCTGCCATTCCGCTACAGCCGCAATATCTATTTAAAATTTAGCCGAGTGATTCGCGAATTACTTCATTATGGTGGGCTTTGTGGTTGCTCTGATTATTCTTACAGTTAGTGTTCTTGCAGTTTTGAAATGTTGGTGCAGAAAGCCTGCTGACTTGTCGGATGAGATCATTTTAATAACAGGTACTCGTTTCCACACATTATATTTTCAGGCGCCAGTAGAGGAATCGGCCGACTGCTTACTTTATCATTGTCAAAATACTGTCGTTCCATTATTGTTGTGGATGTAGATGCAAAGGGCTTGGAGGAAACCGCATCCCTGGTCTTGCAGGAGAACAACGTTCAAGTTAAATGCTATCACTGCGATTTGGCGTACCGTCGTTTTGAGAAATGATAATTTTTGTAGAAACTTGGACGAAATAAAGAAATTTGCGAAGGATGTTCGGAGGAATTACGGGCGAGTGACAATGCTGATTAACAACGCGGGCATTGTCAACGGAAACTTCATAATCGATATTCAGAATTCCAGCGTCGAGAGATTGATTCGTGTGAATCTTCTTGCCCCACTTTACGTACGTCTAAAGAGCCATTAGACGTGGTCACTAGAGTTGATTTTGATTGTATGGGCACATATTTTTTTAGTTGGTGAAGGAGTTTTTGCCAGGCATGCTGGGTAACGCCTATGAGGAATGCGTGAACAAAGTCCCGAAGTTATTGCGACCCCCTTCTGCGGACGACATCGGAAACAAACGTGTCGACGATCCGCCGAAGGGCCACTTTGTCTTTCTTTCCTCAGTAGCCAGTCAATCCGTAGTAGCGTCTCTTGCTGATTACTGTGCATCGAAGGCAGGACTATCAGCTGTTGCGGACACGTTGCGCGTCGAACTGGATATAATGGGGGCGTTAAAGTACATTTCCGTGACTGATATCCGTCCTTTCGTCATAAATACAGGCCTTTTTGAAGGTTTCAAGTGCAGGTGAGTTAGTTTGTGTCGATAGCTTACGATCTTGTAGCTCTCGATGTTTAAATTGTCTCGTTATTAGCATGCCTCCTTCTTGTCTCGCACTGAAGTGTGTGAATGTGTGTTTATATTTGGCTTGGTGTGTGTTTAGGAAACTGCAAGTAACTCAACTGTATGTTTTATTCTAGCAATCATCAAAGAGCGTATTTCGATAGTTCTGCATCTGTCGAAATCCGAATAATTAATTCGGAAACTAAACGGAACCGCGTCCTAACTCTTAACTTATTTTGCGGTTAAGTAAGTATTCGTTGTTTTGTAAGAAAATACTGATTGCACAGTGGGTAAATGCCATTTTTGAACCGAATTCTGCATTGCAGTAATTGTGGTATTGAGGTACAATCCTACAAATTTCCAGGTGCTGGCTCAACTAAATGTTTTTTTTTCAAATAAGTTGAAATATCCGGTTCAAAATAGCCAAAACCATAGTAGTAGGTAACCCGTTAAGGTGCCCAGTTCAGTCTTATTTATTTATCGACTAATTTGACCTTTTCTTGTTGCTGCAGGTTGTCCTGGCTGTTCCCTATTCTGCGTCCAGAAGACACCGTCCAACGTATTGTTGAGGCCATTCGTCACCGGGAAGGGGTTGTGTACATCCCTTGGTGGATGTGGTTTATACCGCTCATTCATCGGTGAGTAGTATGTGGATTTGGCATTCTTCACATCACTGACATTCAGACTGTGACATTACATCGTGCTGAGGAGTTAACTTTAACTGCATATTTGTACTTCAAAGTTAGTGAATAACCACTTGGCACGCACTCATAGTAAACTAATGTGTAGAAGACGTGTATTGCTTACTAAATAGGCCCATTTTCAAATAGCTGTCAGCATATGTGTACATTAAACACATTTTTATTTGCTTTATGTATTTTGATTTGCTTTTATTTGCCTATTTACACATTTCTATTTGCTTTAGCGTCCTGCCCTATCCGGTGCTTCGTCTATTTTTCATAATCAGCGGAAACTTCCATGCAATGGATAATTTCAATCGCGCCAACATGAACCAAGACTAGGTCGATTGCTCTGATTTCGCAATCTTTTGCTTTTGAGCAGTTTGATTAATCGCAAATCTTTTGTGATTTTGCCTTTTAAATAAACCAGCTTCACGTTACTCTCAGCTGTTCTGCGTCGGATGTGGGAGTATTGAATTTGGCTGGAATTCGTTGTAGTTATGAATAGATCTGGCATCGCAGGGTAGTTAGGTGGTTCACTACCATCGACTCTGTCGCCGCATACTCAAGCACCTAGCCCCTTGATGCCCCAGCAATCCTGGCACACTGATCTTGATGGTCGTTGGATTGTGATACGGCCATTTCCTGCCTTCTTAACCCTACAGAGTATCTTCTTAGTGCGATCGGCCAATGACCTTGGGCAGCTCCAATGTGGTCACCTAGCAGAGTCTGAGGTCAGTTCTCTAGAGGTCAAGTTGGACTGCCCAGGAGATCATTGCCATGGGTGTGTTTAGGTGGTAAGCAGTGATGAGGAATGGCCGGTCAGGTGTGGTGTGAAGTGACTGCGGATGAACCATGGGGTGGTGCACCGGGAATCATCCCGCTGTAACTTGTGCCAATTTAAACAAACACGAATGTGCTGTGGCTTTGTGAACTGTTGACGCTACGCCCACTGTGTACTTCTGGAAACCGCTAGAATGCAAGCGCGGCTGGTCTCTGGATTGGACCTTATAGGGTGCATGTTTCAAGGACACCTTGTTGATTTTTTCTAAATTCGTGCTTCCATAGTCCAAACCACTTTCGGATTTATCGATGCCGTGATTACGCTTCCCTCATGTGATCTGAGTGGCTGCCAGGCCCACCACTTTGATACATGCATGGGCTATTTGTATTCTGAAGTAGCAAAACGATCTTGAGTTGATTGATGGCCATTTGGTGGCATGCATTTTGGCGTTGTGGCTGCCACACCATCGAAAGCAAGGCACCTGTTTAGCCATCTTCTTTGTACATTTTCGGCCAAACGGGACCATATGTTGAGGCGTAGTTTCAACGTCCTCACGAGGATTGGGACAGTGAAGACCCACATAACGCCAAAGTTCGATTGAGACAGTATGTTGAGGGTTAGTTTGTACGTCACAACGAGCATTTGGACAGTAAAGTTGCATTCAACACGTCTAACACTAGGCAACTTAGCTTTCACATGGGCGAATTCGAAATCTGATTGCAGTGGACACAGCAAGGACAATTCTTGAAGTCATGGAAGCAGACGGAGTCGGTGCCATATTGATCGAGTTGATCATCGTTAAGTGCCCTCAGGATAGAAGGCAGGCAAGTTGCAGAGCCTTCTTTTACTCTTCTGGCGCCTTAAGTACAAAAACCGGCAAGCTCTCCTGTAAGTGCTTAGCAATTGTCGACAGAACTATAGCTTCGAATGCGCCAATGAGATGGCCAACTCGATGGTTGGATAGGGAGGCGCGGAGGAGGAGATGGAGTCACGCCAGCGCAAGATCGTCTGCAACAGGAGATTCAGGAGACAGGCGTACTCCACGTTGGACGCACACGCTTCCACGTCGCT